AACAGCACAAACCTACTACTTAAAACAACACAAATTTGTTCTCTTACAGTCGGGGAGGTCAGAAATCCAGGATAATCTCTTTGCCTTAAGGCCAGCTGATTAGCAACCTTGCTCCCTCTGCCACCCCGAGTTCTACTTGCAACGTGACATACTTGTCCGCAGGTCCTGGGGATTGGCGCGAGGACAGGTAGGTGGCCCTTCTTCTGCTGACCATGGAGGGAAGAATCACGAATGGAGTGGACGCTGTTCCTCGCACCTGGATTCCACCTCTGCAGCTCAGCAGACCCCGGGTCAGCCTCAGTTAAAGCCAGATCCACGGGGCGCAGGGTCCCACCGTGTAGTGTCTGATTCTGCCCAGGTCTGGGGTGGGCCTGTGAATCTGGACTTCTGACCAGTCCCCAGTGGTGCCGAGGCTGCCCACCCAGGACTCAGTCTGGGGCCCCTGGTCTACTGTGCGTGGATTCCTTGGGCCACACCCTCAGAAGGGGCCCCCAGTTCTTGCTGGAACACCTCCAGCGCCAGCATACTCATTCTATCTTCAGGTAACTTGAATGGTCAGTGAGGGGAACAAGTCGTGGTATGGTATCAGCTTCAGAGCCAGGCTGGCTGGGGGTTGGATCTCAGCCAGGTGACCTTGGGTAAGTTCGTCACCCTCTCTGGGCTGCGTTGTGGGGCAACAGCAAGGACTAAATGACATAGTCCCTGAAAAGCACCCAGGAAGCCCAAGTGAGCCGTCATTAGCCGAGGGAGGAGGAACATTTCAGCGTGTAATGCACCACTTCTGACCCTCGGCGGGGTCTCCCTGGGGCTGTCCCCGAGAACGCCGGCAGGGGTGGGTGTGGAAGTCCTGCAAGAGCAGAGGAGCGCTCACCCTCCCCTCCACAGAAATTTGTGAAAAAGCAGAGGATCAGCTGAGGATTTCTTGCTGGGGGTGTGTGGCCATTCTCTGGCCAACACGTGCTACCTGACTTGGGTCTCCACTGGAAGCGATCCCACGCGTGGGGGTCCCAGGTCCTTGCCTGCGGGAGGAGGACGCCACACCCTGTGGGTGCAGCGTGAGTTTATGGAGGAGCAGGTGGCTCTTACCACAGCCTGTCGACATGGGCAGTGGCGGAAGTGAGGTGGGGGAAGAAGGGCACGCGGCAAACACACGGATGCCTTTGACCCAGAGAGCCCTGTGTTTGCCAAGCAAACACTCCGCCTCCGTGGTTCTGAGCGGGCCTTTTCCCTCATGGCTTCGGTTTGCCTCTGCGCTTTCAGCAGCTCGTTTCTAGAGACCAGTGCTTGGTCTAGGACATTACTTCAGTTTTAAATTTGTTTCTTGATGATGAAACCACTTTTTATTGATGACTTACTCGGTGCCCGACACTGTGTGTGTTTTCGTTTAATCTTCACAATAACCTGTATGGTAGGTGATTTCCCTGTTTATAAGAGGGCTCTGAGGAGATTGGAAAAGCCAGTAAGTTGCTCTAAGCCACACAAGTTGTCTGATTCCAAAGTCTGTGTTTGCTCCAGACCGCAAGCTCCTGCCTGAACTGAGTGAGCAGGGTAGATGCCGTGCTCTCTCTCTCACGCCCCGCCCCCCCCCCAAATACACATTAATTTCTTGACTCCATAGCACACCCCATGCTCCAAACTCAGAAAGTGGGAAGGGAGTGCAGATGGAGAGTCTCCTGCCAGCTTCCTCACGGTGGTAGAAAGCCTCATGCGTGTGTTTTGTGTGTGCACCGGCAGGCAGGTGACTGTTGCCCATTCTAAACACGGGGTTGCCCGCTGCTGTTTCCCTGAATAGGGGGCTCAGATCATCTCATTGCAAAAGGACACCTTCTTTTTAGTGCCATCTGTGCCCCCTTGTGTGGACGTCTCCATGTCTTGAGGGGACATTATGTGTCCCCGATGTGTCACATTAGGAAGGGTGTGACGGTGGGTGGTCTTGCGGGTGTCGAGCTACCTGAGCTCACCTAAGCGGACCTGCTCAGTCAAAAGGTGAGTGGGGGTGTAATTTTGAGAGAGGTTTCAAGTTGCCTTCCTTGGGGTCGTGGCCATTGTCCACCAGCACTGAGTGGGGCTGGCATCACCACAGCCTGCAGGGGCCTCAGTCTGCCTGCCGGCCCCCCCCACCCCTGCCACCTGGCCACACAGGTGCTCCTGAGGGCCCTAAGCCTGAGTCATGGAAAGGCTGGGGCCTCTGGGCTGGAGGGTGGACTCTCCCCTTTGTAGTTTTCATTCATTGTCAGTATTGAAGAACCCTGGAGGGGTGCAGCCTGGGGGAGCTGATGCTGTGGCTGGCCTCCCCCCAGAGGTGGGAGGTCTGCTTCTGAGGGACTGAAGAGGGGAATCCTGGGCTCCTCCACAGCCATTCCGTGTCCTGACTCCAAGCCTAAAGAGAGTTGGGCAGCATGCCGTCGGACTGAGTCTGGCCAGGGGCCCTGGGGTCCCACTGCCTCATTGTCACCTGGTGGCCGTGCTCTCTGCACCCTTGCAGGGCATCATGCCCTAGGGAGCATGAGTGAGGCTTGGTAGGTGTCGTCTGTGTGCAAGTGAAGAAATGAGGTCAGAGAGGCAAGACCCCCAGAGTCATCCCCATAGGTGGGTAGGAATCTGGCCTGAACGATGTTCCTCATTCCTACCCCACCCCCCTGGGCAGCCGGGGACTGAAGCTGCCAGGTAACCCTCCTCCCACCACCCGCCTGCTAGGCATGTGGGAGCACTCCTCTTGAAGCTGCTTGGGGCACTCCAGGCTGCACAGTCTGCACAGACTTCTCTTCTCCAAATGAAATATTTCATCTTTTACTACCATAACACAGGGTCATTTCAAAGCAGACTCCCTAGCATCTTGATTTCTCCTCTTTTGTTACTTTATACAAAAGAAACCAGAGTGGCTTTCCTTTTCCAGTACATCTTGGTGAGGATGTACTTCCCTGCAGGGAGAGAGGAGCGCCTAGTGGGGGTGACGCGGTGGAAACCAGGTGTCCTGGTTCCGGCTCCCAGCTCAACACAGCATCAGCAGACCCAGTGAGGCCCGTCAGGCCCACTGTCTCCCTTTGCTTCTATCTGGGTCTCTGCTCGCCCCTCGACAGAATTTTTCAAATAAGCAGAATGTCGTTTGCTCAATGCTATGTGACTACATGGATGACAAACTCATGGTGGCCACATGCAGTTACACCTGGTTATTCCAGGCTGGAGGGTGAGGAGGTGACTGTGGGGTCTGGCAGTGCTTGATGGGGGTCCCAGCTCTGACATTTATTAGCTGTGTGGTCTTGGGTAAATTTTTCAATCTGCCCGACCCTCAGTTCCCTCATCTGTAATGAGGGAGTCACGGAACCAGCCTCTGGGAGGTGGCTATGTGGATTGAAGCCATAACAAATCATTTCTCGGTTTTGTAGCAAAGAGCTCTGTGCAGAGAGCCGGGCACAGCCTCAGTCCGCTCTGAACCTCCCCGAGGGGTGGCTTGCGCATCAAACCCCAAAGACTCCCCAAGTCCTTGCAACTTGGAATACAATTAGATTCATGAAGGCTTACTTTGTTAACATATGGACTGTTTAAGCCAGGGATAAAAGCATTAAAATTATTCCAACCAGAAAGCTTCCCGTTGACTGAAGGACTCCACACACCTGTGCTGTCTGTGAAGGGCACGAAGGGTGGGCCACCCTGCCCCTCCTGCTTGCCCATGGGGACGAGGCAGGGCCCTGGCCCCTTCCAGGAAGCGCCTTTGTTCTGGGTCTGATTTCCTCCCCCTTCCATTGCCTCCATCCAATCATAGCACAAAATTTATTGAACGCCCCACATGAGCCACAGTGTGCTGCTTGCTGCTCTCTTTTTTATCAACTCTGCTGATGCTGAGAGTGGACTGTGTTCATTACTTTAATGGCTCAGCCCCACACACGCTCCCTTCATCTTGGCAATCTTCCTGGCTCTTGATGGCATTTTGAAAACATTTGCAGAGTTAGCAGGTTCACTTAGCAGAGAATTTCATGGTTTGTTTTTTATATCCCATATTATTCCAGAAAGAATTTAAGGCAGCTGAGTTGACAGCCCAACACACTTCTACCTGCGGGCTTAGTTCAAGGAGCTGGGAGGAGTGGGTGGGTTTGTGTGTCATCCAGCCTGGCATCTTGGGGGGCCGCAGGGGGCAGCTTCTAGAGTGACCGGAATACAGATTCTGGGGTCCCCCATGCTGGCCTCACCTGGCACCACCACTTACCAACTCTGACAGTGTGGGGCAAACACGCTCACCCCCATGGGCCTTGTTTCTTCCTCTGTGAAATGGGTACCAGAACCCCCCCCCCCAGGTTGTATGTGCTTTGCATGAGTGAGCGCTTGTGAACGTGTTAGCTCAGTGCCATGTTTAATAATAAACATGATAAAATACATAGAGCCCAATCTAGCACCTGGGCTTCAACGGGGGACTGTGATTCTCTCTGGGGGGAAACCCCCAAATCCAGAGGTGGTGGCCAGATGCTGACTTACCCCACTCAGCTGTTGGGGCAAAGTCTGTCGTCTCCTGTGAGCCTGAGTTTCCCGTCTGACTGCTGTGACTCAGAGGCATGGCCTCAACCTGAACTTCAGACCACGAGGTCTTTCCTGCAGACCTGCTGAGCTGCTCTGCTTCTTCCTCCCTCTCCCCTCCACCCACGCTTCCCAGGGGGCAGGACTGGCTCCATGGCCCTATTGGCTGCTCCCTCTGGGCCGTCACCTTGGGTGTGACTGCTGTGTGGGATGGGCAGGGGGGCTGTCTTTGCCAGCTGACCATCAGCCCCCTGTGGGCAGGATCTGCGTCGCTCTCCTGGCCCCTGCACCAGGGGGCGTCCAGCCAGAGCTGGGTCTTGTAAGCGTCTGTCCAAATGACCAGTGTTTCAGCCTGTCATGAGCTTTCTGGTTTTCCGATGGAGACTGGGGGATGCGCTGTGTGTTCTGAGGGGAAGGTGGGTGGGCATCCTGCTGGGCAGGTCCTGGGGTCCTGAGGTACGGTCTTGACCCCCTGCTCTCTTCTCTTGCAGAGCCCACAACGATGGTCGTTTCACCCGCCAGCTCGGAAGCCCAGGTACTTTTAAGATAATTTTTAAGTTTATCTGATACATATTAAAGCTTAGAAAGCATATATACAGTTGTTTCTGTGAGCCGGGACACACATAAAGTGCTCAAAGGGCTTCATCGGAGAGGCTTGATGAAGAGATTATTCTCAGAGGGTGGGCAGGTGGGGAGAGAGGGCCCATCAGGCTGGTACGGAGCCCTGAGAGCCTCAGGGGGCCTGGAGGGGAGGGGAAGAGCTGATAGCCCACCTCGTTCTCCCCTCCCCCCACTTCCTGGCAGTGCCTCCCACTGAGCAGAGAGACGAGGAAGGTGATGTCTGCAGAGCCAGCCCCTGGGCAGAGAGTGTCAGGCGGGGGCGGGTCTGGGAGGCCAACAGGAAAACCAGCCAATGACCAATGCCCAGGACCCCACCCAACCCAGAGCTCCGACCTCCCCAGTAGGACTCCCTGTTTCTCTGCCCCACCTGCCCACCCTCAGGTAATTTGTCCTGAATTTGATGTTTATCATTCCACTGCCTTTTAAAACAGCTTTATGCAAATATGTATTTATATACTAAACACAGTGTTATACCAAGGAGGGTGGGCATAGGCCCGAAGAGGCTGTCTCGTCTGTTGTGGAGAACTTAAAAACAATAATAAAACCATTCCAAACTTTTCCTACTTTTTCTTATTACCACGTGTGGGCAATTCTTAATCAGGTCAGTGATGAGACCCCGCTCCCGTCTGGGGCAGATGCTCTGCTGTTTGAACAATGCCCGGCTCAGGCTTGCTGTGAGCTCTGGATGAGGTGTGGTGCGACGTGGTTTTCTGGAATCTGAGTGGGGAAAAAACAATAATGTGTTTTCAGGACTCATCTTCATCACTTTCACTGCTGCACCAAAGTCTGCATAATTTATTTATCCGAAGCCCGGGGATGTCCCCTTCGCTCTCCGACAGCGCTCCTGGGGCAACCCTGCTGCCGAGCCCCCGGGGACCTGCATTCACCACCTGCCCTACGTTATTGATTTGAAACTATTTGCCAGGAACTTTATATGTGGGGGTCCAGTCTGGACCATTTTGTCCAGAGGCCCCTAAATGAACCCCATAGCCCCACCCCAGGAATCAGGGCAGGGGCTAGCTTGTCGTGTTTACTGGATTCCCACCATTGGCACCCAGCTGACGCTGACCTGTGGCTTCCGTTCTGCTCTCGTCCCCTTCAGTTCCGCGGGAGGGTCCCCTGGGCTCACCCCCCAGGCCGGGGCTGCTGGTTCCCACGTTTCCGTGGGCAGGCAGGGCTGGAGGTTCTGAGACCTGGCTGGCTGCCCGGGTTTTCCTTATGGGAAAGCAAGTGCCCTTTGTCTTCCTGGGAGAGTTTCCAGTGTCTCGGGCTGGGGCACAGAGAAGCATTTAGTGGAGCAGCTATCAGATGAGAGGCTTGAATTGGAATTAACCCTTTCCCTGTTGTGCTGCTAGCTCAGGCCAGCAGCCGGGAGAGAGGGAGAGGGGCAGGGATGGCCGGGGGCTGCTCTGCACTGCCTGGGGCCGGGGGAGCTGCCTGCTGTGCCCTCTGTCTGTGCTGCCCGTGCACTAGAGGGGTCGTGATTGGAGAGCCCAGGTCAGAGCCTCTACTGGGGTCAGCAGGGGCTCTGGGCAGACCTAGAGTGGGTGTGAAGGTCCCTTCCACCATTATCTCCTTCCTGGCACCTACCTCTGGTCCAGAAAAAGACTGACAGGAATTCGTGTGAACTGTGGCTCTTGCCAGCCCAGTAATCTTGAGGGACATTGGGCCGCTCTCTAGAGAGCCCCTTGCCCCGGGGACTCCACCCAGCCCTGGCCAGGGCCTGTGGTCACCTATCAGGTGTGACCAGCCTTTAGGCCTTGGCCTGGTGCCCTCTGATTCATGATTCTAGGGTGTGACTCGGAGCTGGATCTGTGACCCTCGCCTGCCTAAAGCAGAGATAAGACAGCCTCCAAGGATGGACCAGGATTTTGCTGACTTTAGGCTGGAACTTTGCTCCCATTGGAGCCCTGCTCTTCCCACTGGTCCCCTTGAGCCTGGGCAGACCGCCCCCCTCCCCCCCAGGTCCCCTGCAGGCTCTCCGTGTTTCCCTAAGGCATTTCCGAAGGACAGAGAAGGGCTGTTCTTGTGCCCCGTCCCCTGCTGATGCTGGCTCTGCTCAGGCAGGTTCCCCTGGGCTCCAGGTGGTTAGAATGTAGGAAATGAGAGGAGAGGCAGAGGGGGACCCTGAGGCCAAGTAGACAGGGGAATGGAAGGTGCCCTGGTGAGGGCATGGCTCCATCTGCCACGAAGCAGCCTCACACCCTGGCACAAGGCTTAGGACACAGGCCCAAAACACACCCAAGTCCTGTTACTGAACCAGCTTCGTTTTGCCTGCTGCGCAGCATGCCCATCATCAAGACGATGAGTTTGCAGCAGAGAAAGGGTTTATTCACAAGACAGCCAAGCGAGGAGACGGGAGAGTAAGTCCCAAATCTGCCTCCCGAAAATGGGGATTAGGGATATTTATGGGAGAGGGGCAGGTGGTCGGAAGTGCAGGGTGGATGCCTGGAGGTGAGGAGGAGTGAGGGCACTGATGACCCACGCCAGCACAGTCAGGCTTCATGGCTCTGCACAGGACGCGTGTTCACGGAAGGGTGGCCTTAGCAAGATTTGGGGTGGAGTTTTTGGCCCCCTGACATCGAAAGGATCACCTATCGGGCATTCTCGCAGACCCAGTTGATGAGTCAGTGGTCTTAACCGGCCTGAACTGGATAAGGGGTAGACTCTCAGTTCCTGAAAAACAACTTAAGCACCTGTTAGCACAGTGCCCCAAGTGTCAGAGATGTGTCTCTGGGGTGGCCTTCAGTGAGGTATTATCCAGCTACTTCTGCAGACAGACAGCTGGGTATGGTTAAAGCAAGTCGGCCTCGTTTCAGTCCCAGGACCAGCCTGGCCAGTTGCTAGCTGCGGTCGAGTGACCTGACATTCTGTGCCTCTGTCCTCTGCCTGTGAGACAAGAGGTTATCTTGTGGCTTGCTGCAAGGGGAAGTGGCAAAGGGCTCAGGGAGTACCCGCCGTAAGAAGAGCTGTTGTTATTTTTGCGTGTACATATCTTTTGTGTCATCATCGTAAAGGGAAAAATGAAAGCCGTTTAAAAGACAAACACAAGGGCTATGCAAACTAGAGGCAGTGTCCTTATCATTGCCACGTGTTCAGCTGATCCCACACGGCACTTCCCTGTCCCAGCAGGTCTGACCATCGCAGGGCCCCGTGCCCGTGGGCAGGGAATGTCAGGGTGCCGGTGGCAGTGGAGCAGAGGAATGTCCTCCATGTAACACTGGTCCCCCAGATGTTAACGGTAGTCCATGGAAATAGGGTTCCCTGGCAGGTAAACTGAGAAATGCTGAATCAAGAGGTCTCTCTACTTCGGAATCACAGATTTTTAATGTGCTAATGCGCTTTTTTAAAAACTTCCTATGGAGGATTTCAAGTGTATACAAAACAAACAGAATAGCATTGTGGACCCCCATGTGTGGCTCAGCTGCCCCAGTTACGTTAAGACAGCTGTTCCTAGGGAGCCCCACCCTTTCCCCTCCCCCTGCTCAGGTACAATTTTTTTTAGGTTTTTCTTTTTCAAGTTAAATGTACATATATTATTATTTACATGCAGTTTAAAATATTGTAGTGAGGGGCTGTCATTTTTTGTAAGTTCAAGTGTCAAACTTTATTACGTATAGTTAAGCAATTATTCCAGCCCCATTTATTCAACAAGCTAGTCTTTCTCCTTTGATTTAAAATATACTGTTATATTACATAAAGAGCTAATATTTAATTAGGTTGTCTATTTTTTTTTACATCAAGTTTATTGGGGTATACTTTACCTTCGATGAATTGTAACAAATGTATCACCGTAATCATGAATATAGACCTTTCCATCACCCCAAAAGTTCCTGTGCCCCTTGCCATCGCTACCCTGATCCCTGGCTTGGAACCACTGACCTGCTTTTTGTGGCCATAGATTACACTTGTGTCGCCTAGAGTCTCATATAAACAGAACCATGCACCATGGAGCCTGTCTGGCTTCTGCACTCCGAGTTGAGTGTGTGTGAGATGGGTCCATGCAGCTCCATCGCTTGCACTGCTGCCTGGGCTCGCTCTGTAAGGATGGGCCACGTTTGTGTATCATCCACGAGCTGAAGCCATGTGGCCAGCCCAGGTGTGGGCCCTAGGGCATTGCAATACGAGTCTTAGGGGATGCCGTTCTTCCTCACTCCGGGTTAAATACTGGGAGAGGAGCTGCAGTAAACGATGTCTGATTATGGGAACACGCCAAACTGTTTTCCACAGTGGCTGTGCTGTTTGCGGAGCATCCTGTTCACCCTGTGCCGTGTTTGCTTGTCCCATGGTATATCCCTCTGGACAGACAGCTGGCTGTTTCCCTTTCACTGTCAGAAGCCTATAATTCAGGCCTGGCCCCCGCCCTGCCCGGGCCCCTTGCTTCGTGGGGGCCCAGCCCCTGGTGACTGTCCGGGCCCCTGTCCTGCAGATGGTGCAGTCGCTGGGCTTCGCCATCTACCGCGCGCTGGACTGGGGGCTGGACGAGAGCGAGGAGCGCGAGCTCAGCCCGCAGCTGGAGCGGCTCATCGACCTCATGGCCAACAACGACTGCGAAGACGGCGGCTGCGGGGCGGCGGACGAGGGCTACGGGGGCCCCGAGGAGGAGGAGGAGGCCGAAGGCGGGCCCCGCGCCGTGCGTACCTTCGCCCAGGCCATGCGGTTGTGCGCTGCGCGCCTGACCGACCCCCGGGGTGCGCAGGCCCACTACCAGGCCGTGTGCCGCGCACTCTTCGTGGAGACACTGGAGCTGCGAGCCTTCCTTGCGAGGGTCCGGGAGGCCAAGGAGGTGAGCAGAGCGAGGGTGTGCTAAGGGGGTGGGGGGTGCAGGAGGGCATGGGGGTGCTTCCAGGAGGCCAAGGAGGCCGGCGTGGGGGGCGGGGCGCGGGATGCGGAGCACGTAGAGGGAGAACGGGGCAGAAGGGGCGGCGTGCTCAGGTGATGAGCAAGGCGGAGGGGTCGCAGGAGGACTGGGAGACGTGAGTAGGTGCCTTTGTGTGCCAGTCCAGAGCTGGCGGCGGGGCGTGGCCGTCCGTTGCCTTTAGTGCGTTGGTCCTACAGGGAGTGGAAATCCTCAGTCCGGGCTGTGAATAGCGGTAGCTACTGCCTGCGCTCTGGGGTCACTGTCCTAAACGCCTTATAGGTTTTAACTTAACCCTCACACCTTCGTAACCGGTTTTGCACAGGAGGGCACTGAGGCTCAGAGGCCTTAAGTAACTGGCTCCTAGCGTCTTGGCCCCATGACATCACTCCTGTTGCCTCTAAGTTACTAATCTCCCTGACCCCTGTTTACATCTGCAAAGGGGGCTGTGCCTCCTGCCTCCTGGCTCACTCCTCCAGGTGCCGGTTCCTTCTGAAAATAGGACGCTAAAGGCAGCCGCTTCCTGCGGCTCAGGACCAAGCACAGTGCTCAGTGTGCTTGGAGCTTTGGGGAGGTAGGCAGTTGAGGGAGAGAACACTTGCCAGGTGTTTGCCCTGCCAATGACAGTCCGATGTTGCCCTCCACCACCCCTCTGTGGGTATCTCCCATTTTACAGAGGAGCAAATGGAGGCCCCAAGTCACAGAACTAGTACAGGGCAGAGCTGGGGTCTAACCTGGCTCCCGCGCTGGCCTTCTCCCCCAGGGCTGTCCTGCCTCTTTTGGTCCCAGAGTTAGGAGCTGACAGTTTTCCTCTCAACTCTCCAAGCCTCTCCCTTGGAGGGAACTGAGGTGTTTCCTTGAAACAGGGGTCTTGGTGCACAGGGACCCTGCCTCCCATCAGCATTTCACAGATGAGAAGATGGAGGCTTCAGAGAACTTGGGGAATTTGCTCCACTCTCTCTTGTTTAAGTGGCAGAAGGTATTTTTGGAATTAACTGAGTCCCTCTCCTTGGCATCTCGGAGGTGTTCTTCCAATGACCTTAATGCTGTGTCTTTCTTGCTCTGAAGTCATCTGTTCTATTGCTAACATCAGTTCCCTACCCAGACAATGGGAGCTCTTTCTTCAGAGGAGCAAACAGCTCTAGGCTTCCAGCAGTTTACCCAGGATGAGTTCAGGGAATTGGTGGTGGGAGGGAGTGAGAGGAGGGTCTGTCAGTGGGGCACAGCTGGGCCGGCTTTTGGGCAGAAAGAGCCTGCTCAGGGACAGGTATAGATACTCTAGGAAGAATGGGAGACCCACCCTTCATGCCCTTTGCCCACAGGGACTGCCAGGTCACACACAGGTCTATTTTTAGAATCACACTCCTTGTGCTGCACAGAGACTTGGCAGCATTTTCCAGAGCGTCCCAAAGCGGTTTGGCAAGTGGCTTGGGCGAAAGCCAGGCTACCCAGTTCTGTCTTATTAGGGGAGAGGGGCTGGTGCTAAAGGGCACATGCTTCTCCAGTGGGGCGGGGGGGGGGGTTGGTGAGAACGGAGATCCAGAGAAACGAAGGCAGCCAATCTAGCAGCTTCTTCCCAAATTTTCAGCATAGAACAGTTACCCGACAGCCCCTGACATCCTTCTTGGGTTCTCACCACTTCACAAAATATACATCTCTGTTTCCCAGGACTCGCCACCATCTACCCACCACTCACCCACCCACCTACCACTCATCCACCTACTCACCCATCTATCCATCCATCACCATCCATCCACCACTCATCTATCCATTCATTCATTCATTCATTCAACCAATGTTTAAGACCTAGCATGTGCCACACTGTGCTAGGAGCCAGCACTATTAAGATGAGAAAAACAGAAACAAAACATGGTTCAGACAGCCATCAAAGCAGCAGATAAATGTGGATGTCCAGCTGGGATCCTGTGCGGAGAAGGGGCCGTGGGTGTTCTGAGAGGGGTGCGTGTGGCCTGGGCGAATCAGCTAGGGGAGGCGCTCCTGAGGAAGAGCCCCGTGAGCTGAGATCGACAGGAAGACGAGGAGCTCTTCACAGATGCGGGAGAGCCAGGTTGCCAGCCTGCATCTGCTGTCTGTGGGGGATACAGCATCTCACTGGGGCATGTAGATCAGGTGAGAGAAGGGGGTGGGTTCTCTATAACCAGAAGGTTCTATATGGGGGCTCAGAGGGTGTTATGCCCTCGCCCTGCCCTCACCAGGGAGAAGCTGCCAGAGAGCCAACGGGAAACCAAGTGTCCCATGTAGCTCCAAGGCTGACGGCTTGGTTTCCCCTGATCTCTGAGCCCCAAAGCCTTGGCCTAAATGCCCCTTGTCCTTTTTTAGCTGGTTCAATAGTAGCCTGTGTGGTAAGGAAATGTCCCCAGATGGACAGACCAGCAGGGGGCCCACATCCCATGGCTGCCATTCTCCCACCTTCCCTGGACTAACAGATGCTGCAGAAGCTTCGGGAGGACGAGCCGCAGGCAGAGAAGCCGCTGGCAGAGCTTGACAACCTGGGGCGCACGGACTGGGTAAGACGCGGTCCCCTCCTGTCGGGACACAGACGGTTCTGTGCCTGGAGGGCCCGTGGGAGCCCTACCGGGGCTAATGGCATTTTCATCTCCTCGGGGCCCAGGCCCGACTGTGGGTCCAGCTCATGCGGGAACTCCGCCATGGGGTGAAGCTCAAGAAGGTGCAGGAGCAGGAGTTTAACCCCCTGCCCACCGAGTTCCAGCTCACGCCCTTTGAGATGCTGATGCAGGACATCCGCGCCAGGAACTACAAGCTGCGCAAGGTCATGGTGAGCTGGGGAGGACCAGCCCGGAGCCTCCCTCCCGCCGCCAGCTCAGGAGTCCCTGCTCTGCGTGCCACTGCCCAGTTTATTCGAACATGAATAAAGCAGATGGCTCACGGTTGCACTGGGAACACAGTGTGACAAGGGCAGGGAGAGGGGATGTGGAGGGTTCTGGAGGACCAGAGCCTGCGAGATTGTCCCATTCAGTGCTGTGTGGTGCTTGCCATGTGCCAGCATTGCTCCGAGAATTTTAAACGTGTGACTTCACTTCATTCTTCTGACAACCCTGTGAGGCGGGTGACCTTGACCTCCATTTCCACACAAAGAATCTGAGATGCAGGGAAGCTGGTGGTGGCACCAGGCTTTGGAGGCCACAGCTGCGGCCTGCGAGGGAGGACGGTGTGAGGCCTAGGCCCTGTTCAAGGCTGAGTGAGCCCCTCCTGTGGCCCTGGCCCCAGGAGGCAACCCCTGTGGGCCTCATGCCCTTAGCCTTGGCTGCCTCCCCGCCCTCCCCCACAGGTCGATGGGGACATCCCTCCCAGGGTGAAGAAGGACGCCCACGAACTCATCCTCGACTTCATCCGCTCGCGGCCTCCCCTGAAGCAGGTACCAGCTCTGCACCTCCTCCCCTCTCGCCTGCCCATGCGAGGCTGCCTGGAGTCTCCACTGAGGGAGGCGGCAGCTGGCTCTGTCCCCTGCTGTGCCGGTTGCTGGTGGGCCTGGCTGGTCAGGAGTACTCCTCAGACAGGGCTCCTCCCTAGCTCAAGTGTGTCGTCCATGTCGTGGCCCCACTGCCCCTCCCAGCTAGAGCCGCCATGCCCCTTGCAGGTCTCCGAGAGAAGGCTTCGCCCCCTACCTCAGAAGCAGAGGACCCTGCACGAGAAGATCTTGGAGGAAATCAAGCAGGAGCGGAGGCTGCGCCCAGTAGGGGGCGAGTGCTGGGGTGGCCGGGGTGAGCGTGGGACACCCCTCCTCTTCCTTTCCCGCCCTTTCCTTCCCCTCCCTCCCTCCCCTCCTTTCCCTCACTGTCCTGCCCTGCCCCACCTCCCTGCCTCCCCAGGGTTTGGCTCTCTGCCCTGCATTCTCAATGCCTGCTCTGGGGACATCAAGTCCACTTCCTGCATCAACCTGTCCGTCATGGATGCTGGGAGCAGCGCTCAGCGCCCGCGACCCCGGGTCCTGCTCAAGGCGCCCACCTTGGCTGAGATGGAGGAGATGAACACGTCTGAGGTCAGAGCCCACAGATTCCTGAAAAGAGACCTGGGAGGAGGAGGGGGAGGGGTAGGCAAGAAGGGAGAAGGGGCCCAGCCAAGCCGGGGCTCGGCATCCCACCATGTGGGGCATCTGCTGCTCAGGGCTGCGGGCAGTGCCCTCCTTTGAAGCTGGTGTCCTGCTGTGGGGCTGGGTCTGCCCTGGGAGCAGCCATGGCAGGGCTCAGGGACACTTTCCCATCTTGGTGGCTCAGAAGGGTGACTGGGATAGTGGACATGTTCCTGCAGCACAAAAAGGGCTGAAGTGGAAGTGCTCCATCACCTTGGGGCCAGGAAGCTGAGCAGCCCCCTGGTTGATGTCCCTGCCTGGCTCCTCATCCTGTCCTCACTGCCCTCCGAGTCCAGGGACAGTGGCCATCTCAGTGGGCTCCACCTGACACCATACCTGTCCTCTACAGGACTTTCTGGAGGCCTCAGGCAAGGGTTTGGTTTTGAGGCACTTGCCTTCCACTGCCCAGAGGCTGGTCGGGCTGGGCAGTGAGCAGAGCACGGCCCCAGGACTCTCTGTGTCCTCTGTCTAAGTCCAGGGACGGACAGAAGGGACTGGTGGGCAGAGTGGTTGGGGCAGGGTCGGGTCTGATGTGTCCACAGGAGGAAGAGTCTCCGTGTGGGGAGGTGACACTGAAGCGGGACCGCTCCTTCTCGGAGCACGACCTGGTCCAGCTCCGGAGCGAAGTGGCCTCTGGCCTGCAGCCAGCCACTCAGCCCCCAGGAGGGTTGGAGCCATCCCGGCCCCGCGCAGGCAGCGTGCACGCCTGGAGGCCCAGCACCCAGGAGCAGGGCAAGTGCTGCCTCTCATCCTTTCTCCCTCGAATCTGTCCTGCGGGCGCGTGTCCTGTGGCCAGGGCCCCATTGTCTTCTGAGCAGGCAGCACCCAGTGGGTGCCGGAGCTCAGCCTGCAAGAAGGTGTGAGAGTTCAAGCCCAGCCTCGCCTCGTCACCTCAGGCAGGCATCCCCACTTTAACTTGAAAACGTTTTTTATTAAATTAGTAATCCATATTCATTGTAAAACATTAGAAAAAACTTTAAAAAAATTCCCATGATTCTATTACCTAGAGATAATTAGTAATATATTGGTATATAGAAAAAAAGCTGGATAGATGGATGGATGACGGATGGAGGAAGGATGACTGATGGACAGATGGATAGATGAATGGACAGATGCATGGATGATGGATGGATGGATGGATAGAAGGATGGATGATGGATGAAGGACGGATGACAGATACACAGACAGATGGACAGATAGATAGACAGATGGAGAGGTAGATGGATGGACAGATGGGTGAATGGATGATGGCTGGATAGATGGCTGGATGATGGATGACGGATGGATAGACAGATGGATAGGTGGATAGACAGATGGCAGATGGATAGATGGATGGAAAGACGGATGGATGATTGACAGATTCTTCTAGTCTTCTTTTTCTGTCAATGGAAACGTGTCTACAGTGAACCAGATGGGCTATGCAGCACACACCACTCTGGAACCTGACTTGTCACTTGAGATTTCTTGTGAGCCTCCTCCTTTCCCTGTCAGTCAGCACAGAGGCCCGAATAACTCTCCTGGTCACACACTTCGTTAGTCCCACTGTTGTAAGGGCTGTGCTCCATGAACTGCAGATACGACATGGGGTTGTCAGCCCACCCACTGCCTCCCACCAGACACAGCCAGGCCCCCTTCTCTGCCCTCATGATCACCTTGAGCCATGCTCTCGCTCTCTGGCCCCTCTCAGGATGGTCCCACTTGATAGTTATGACTCACTCTCTGGTGTGAAGAGGTCTAGGCCAGGTCAGTTCCACTTCTTGCTGTCTCCCCTGAACTGTCCTCCAGACTCAGAGACCCTGTGGAGGAGGCGAGTCTGCCGCCTCCTCCTCTGTCCTTCTCTGTCCTTCGGGGTCTCTGGTATAGTGCAGCATGTGGGACCAGTGGAGGAGGAAGGACTTCTTACGTGGCCATTGCTGTCTGTGCTTTGCGTGGCCTGCACTGCTGGCTGCAGCATGGGACTCCCAGTGTTGGCTCGTTCATGGGGCTCTGATGTGGGGCCCCTTCAGGGGTCCCTTGGGCCTGCCCCACTGCATGGGCCCCTGACATGGGTGACACGCTCTCTATTTGACCTTTTGCTTGATTATGCCCCCACCCCACCCATTTCCTGCCTGGCAGGCTGTCTCCCTTGTCCCCGGGGCACAGCCCTCCCAGATCAGAATTATTGCCAGGTTGTCCTGACAGGGCTTCCCTGCTCGTCTTCCAGGTTCCTTCCCTGTGAGCGTCCAGTCCCAACCTGACTCCAGCCCCCTCCCACGCAGTGACCTGGGCTCAAGGGAGGAGGACAGGCCTGAGGAGGGCAGGCAGGAGGCCTCTGAGGCCCCAGACGCCCATCACCTGTGGCTGGTGAGTGAGGAGGCGCTGCCATGCAGGGCATCTGGGTGGGGGCCTCCTGGGCGCTCATCTTCTGCCTCCCCAGGACCAGGCCCCAGCATGTGTTCTGGAACTCTGGTGGCTCCCTCCGGGGCTGTGGCTGGGTCTGTGCTTGAGCCTGTGTCTGGAGAGCTTGGTCTCTGCTGCCACCTTCTGGGCTTCTGGGCAGTGCAGCCTCTGGCCAGAGAAGGACCTGGCTAAGGGGACAGTTCTTAGTCCCATCTCTGTGGGGTTAGGACTGATGAGAAAGCTGGACGTCTTGAAGGCAGCATGATGCGACAGGAGAGCGTTTCACTGGGCTGAGACCTTGACTCCGGCCCCGCTCTGCCACAGTGCTCTCACCCTCTCTGTACCTTGGTTTCCTAGCTATAAATTTTGTCTGACTCATCACTGTGAAGAGCTGGCACTTGCTGATGTTTTGAGGCCCCCATTTTGGATGTGAGCCTGGGTGTCTGATTTCATCAAAGGAGTGGAAGAGCCTGAGGCCGTGGTGGCTCTGGGGCGTGTGGAGGGCATTCCTGGTGTGTGCGTCCTCACTGCTTCGTTGAAGTCTCATCAAGAGGCTCAAATGAGGACAGACATTAAAATGCTTTGAAAGATAGAAGTGCCACATAAATGTAAGGCAGTGACACCATTCGGTTCCTCCCTGAAGGGCAGGCGTCTGCTTTGAGTTCTGTCTTCTCTATTGCTGCATGAAAAGTTACTCTCAAACTTAGTAGCTTAAAACAATAAACATTCATTATCTCACACCATTTCTGAGGGTTAGGGGAGTCCAGAAGTGGCTCAGCAGGGTGGTGCTGGCTCGAGGCCTCTCAACGGGCTGCAGCTGGGGTGTCAGCAGAGGCTGTGTCTCAGCTGAGAGCTGGACTGGGGCTGGAGGAGCCACTTCCAAGGTGGCGCCTCACCCAGCTGTGGGCAGGAGGCCTCAGTTCCTCCCCACGTAGATCTCCCACAGGCTGCTCGAGTGTCCTCCGACATGGCGGCTGGCATCCCCCAGAGCACGTGGTCTGAGAAAGAGCAGGGCAGAAACCAGTATCTTTATGAGTAAGTCTCAGAAGGGATGCATTGTCATTTTCATTTTAATCTGTTCCTTACAAGCGAGTAACTGAGGCCCCCTCAGGGGAATGGAAAGGCTCCCTTCTGGAGGAAGGGGTGTCAGGGAACTGTGGGACATATTTTAATGGCAAGGCCCATCAGTGTTTTTTCAGCAATCTTGAGAGTGCTTTCTGAGAGATCTTGCTGTCAAACGTGGGATGACCTCAGTGACCTTGCCTCCGCCCTGAGCACATACTCATAGCTCAGTCTGACGAGCCACCTGCTGGTCTCTGCACCCAGCATGAGACCTGCTGGCCACCAGTGCAGTTAATGTAATGTCTATAAGGTTGAGAGCGGGATCGGTCAAACATAAACAGCACTGTCAGGCTGCTGGATACAGAAATCAGAGGCCAGAGGACCTGACACTCCAGGCCAGAGTGGAGAAGAGCACAGGGGGGTCTTGACCCTCCCCGAATGCCACCCACCAGCAGGTGTTCAGCAGCCCTAAAGAGGATAACCACTGAAAACCCGAAACTAAAGACACTGTGCAGCCTCTGTCTCTGTGGCACCCTCACAGACCAGGGCCCCCGACGCCTCGGGATCTCGGGAGCTGGCATTTTTAATGCTAGGTGCCAGGCATTGTGCCAGTGGCTTTACATGTGATGTCAGCGGAGTCGAAGGACAACCCCCTTTATAGAAGAGAGACTTTGAGAGGCTGAGGAGTTGGGACTCTGCTAAGCCCTGGGGCAGAACAGGGTGTGCTCACCACGGCGGCCCAAAGGCCAGGCGGTGGTGACGAGTAAGACACCTGCTGCCTGTGGACAGGCAGACACAGAGCCCCATGGGATGTGAGCGCCACACGAGGCCGTGTGCAGGAGGCAGCTCTGTGCAGGATCCCCGGAGTGGGGAAGTGGGCCTGGGGAGCCCAGCTCGGTTTGGTTGGCTACAGTGGGGAACACGGTGGGAGGCAGATGTTTCAGGTCTGGGGCACTGTGAACCAAGGTGGGGATGGTCTGAAGGGGAGCCTAAGGAAAGGGTCACTGAGGGAATGGGGGCAGACTGGATGGTGGGCAAGGCCACGTCACAGGAAACCTTGCCTGTAGCACCAGGGCACCATCAGAGAAGGTATGGGGAGCATGTTTGGCTCCCAGGTATGGATGAACTGAAGAATAGGGCATTTTAAGAAGTCTCTGGGCTTGGGAACACTGAGGTCAGGAAGATGCCAAGTCCTCAGCGGGGAGAGGAACTTGTGAAGGCCTCCTGAGAGGCCTCAGCCCTGAGGGCATGAATGACCTGCCACAGGAGTTCAGCCACCCTGTGGAGAGCCTTGCCCTGACTGTGGAGGAGGTGATGGATGTGCGCCGTGTGCTGGTGAAGGCCGAGATGGAGAAGTTCCTGCAGAACAAGGAGCTCTTCAGCAGCCTGAAGAAGGGGAAGGTGAGGCAGCCCAGCCTGTGGACAAGAGCCCTGGGTGCGGTACAGGTGAGGATGGGGCTGGACCCAGTGAGCTGGGACAGAACTGGGCTCTAACCAGGCCTTTCCTTACAGATTTGCTGCTGCTGCCGTACCAAGTTCTCACTGTTCTCCTGGCCACCCACCTGTCTTTTTTGCAAGAGGTGAGCCTTCTGTAAGCACCTTGGCTGTGAGTTAGCATGGGAGGGAGGAGGAAAGAGCCTCTAGGCCAGCACTGTGTAATAGAACTGTCCTTGATTGTGGGGATGTTCCATCATGCACCATGGCTAGTGCAACAAAGGAAAAGAATTAGCTTTTAATTTAAAGTTTAATAGCTAAGGGTCTCCCACTTTCAGCCAAGGTGGGGTAACAGGCAGTAGAACAGGCACCTTCTACCTGAAACAAGCAAATAAATAAACAAATAAACCAAGGAACATGAAACAATGGTTTTCAAGACACTTGGTATCAGGCAACAAACAGGAAGCAGACAGGGTGAGTTCTGTGACTGCCCCAACTGCCTGGAGTTTCTAGGTCCTGAGTCAGAGCCTGCTCAGTTCCTTGAGCAGGAGGAGGTAAAGCTGCGAACCCAGGGAGACCACAGCAGCTCGAGTTCTCAGTGCAGATTTCCAGAGGGAGAGAGCTGTCCACAGAGCAGGCTTCAGACCGGCAGAAGGTCCCCCTCAAGTATTCAGCAGAGTACTGATCAGCACATAGATGCAAGAAAGTTACTGAAGGCTAGGGAAGAATCGTCTGAAGCAGGGAGTGGTGAATGCCAGTCCATGAGCCAAATCTGGCTCACTGCCTGTTTTGTAAATAAAGTTTTATTGGAACACAGTTAAAGACATTCATAGTTCATTTAGTCACATCTGAATGTTTACTATCTGACCCTTTACAGAAAATGTTTACTGACCCCGTGCTAAAGGCTTAAAAGAACATATTAGGAATGGTGTCTGTTGCCACCAGCCATGGTGGAAATGCAACGTGTGGGCCACTGAGTGGAATACACAGAAAGTCTTGTCTCACTAGTGGGAATAAGCACTCCTAGACTGAGCATTGCTCCAGACCTAACCAAACACAAAAGCAAGACCCGAAAGGAGCAAACTCTTCCCAAGTACCTTAACTGCTTCCCAGATCAAAGCTCAAGAAGAGGAAGGAAAACTGTCCGGCACCCAGCAAGATGAGACACCTGGCATCCAACCAAAGATTATCAGGCATGTCAACAACCAGGAAAACATGACCCATGAGGAGAAAAATCAATCAAAATCACCCAGAATGGGTGCAGATGTTAGAATTAGCAGATAAGGACATTAATAGTTTTGAACTGCATTTCATATGTTCAAAAAGTTAGAGACATGGAAGATATAAAGAAGACACAAATCAAACCTCTAGACATGAAAACTAGAATGGTTGGGATGAAAATTGCACTGGATGAGATTAATGGCAGATTAGACATTCAGAAGAATGTGCAGAAGAAAAGACTAGAGACCTTGAAGAGAGCAATAGAAACCATCCAAAATGAAAACATTGAGAGAAAAAAGAATTAGAAAAATGAAAAAGGCATCAATGAGCTGTGGGATGACATTAAAAACCCTTATAGAGGTGTAATTAAAGTTCCCAAAGGGAAGTGGGGGACAGAAAAAGTATCTGAAGGGATAATGACTAAAAAGTTTTTCCAAATTTGATAAAAAATATAAACCCACAAGAAACTCAATGAACCCCAAGCACAAGAAACATGAATAAAATCAAACCAATGCGCATAGTAATCAAATTGATTAAAAGCAGTGATAAAAAGAAATTATTAAAATCAGCTAGCAAATAAAGACATGTTATGTACAGAGGAAAGACAAAGATGACTGCAGATTTCTCGTTGAAACAATGCAAGCAACAGCTTTAAAGAAGAAAAAAATTGTCAATCTAGAATTCTATACCCAGCAAGAATATCTTTCAAAAACAAAGGCCAAAGTAAAGACATTTCCAGAAATACAAAAGCCAAAAGAATTCTTCACCAGCAAAGCCATAGAAACAAATGTTACATGAGGTCCTTCACATAGAAGGAAAATGATACCAGATGGAAATCTGAATCTACTCAAAGGTATGAAGGACACTAGAAGTAGCAACTACTAAGACAAATATATAAGATTATTTTCTTATAACTCTTTAAAAGGTAAACCAATATCCACCACCCAACAAGGTAAAATTCAATGTCTGGCATCTAATCAAAGATTACCAGGCATGCAAAAAAAAAAAAAAAAAACACAAAACACATTAGTAACAATGTATTGTGGGGTTTATAACATATCTATAAATAAAAAGTATTCTAACAGTAGCATTAAGGCGGGGGGGGGGCAGGTAAATTGGAAGTATGCTATTATAAGTTTCTTATACTCTACATGAAGTGGTAACATATTTGAAGATACACTGTGTTAAATTAAAGACATATACTATAAGCCCGAAAGCAACCAGTAAAATAACAAAACAGAGCAATAGCTTCTAAGTCAACAAAGAAGATAAAATGGAATCATAAAAAACACTTGATTAATACAGGAGGCAGAAAAAGGAAAAGGGAACAAAGAAAATTTAGGACAAAACAAATAGCAAGATGATAGACTTACACCCAACCATATCAGTAGTTGCATTAACTCTAAATGGCCTAAACAACCCAGTTAAAAGGCAGAGTTTCCCAGATTGATTAAAAGAAAGCAAAGCTCTCTGCTGCCTACAAGATATGCACTTTAAATAAAAAGATAGGAATTGGTTAGAAGCAGAAGAATGGAGAAAGATGTACCATGCCAAGACTAGTCTCAAGAAAGCTAGAGTTGATATATTAATATCATACTAAGTAGACTGCAGAGCAAAGAATATTACCAGAGATAAAGGAGTTCATTTCATAATGAGAAAGGGAGGAAATAATAATCCTGAACATTTTCTACACCTAACAACAGAGATTCAAAATACATGGAGCAAAAAACCTGATAGAACTGCAAGGAAAAACGGATAAATCCACGATTATAATTAGAGATTTCAGTACCCTCCTCTCAACAACTGATAAAACTTGTAGACAGAAAAACACTAAGGATATAGAAGGTTTGAACAACACTATCAACCAACTTGATCTAACTGACATTTACAGAACACGCTCCCCGACAACAGCAGAATGTGCCTTCTTCTCAAGTGCACGGAGAACACTTACCAACATAGACTATATCCTGGGTCGTAAAACAAGTCTCAAAAATGTCAAAGGATTCAAGTTATACAAAGTGTGTTCCCTGACCACAACAAAATAAAATTAAATTAACCCAGAGGTTTGTTGATGGGGCATCCACGCAAGAGAACAAGGTCCCTTGTTCTAAAAAGTGAATTTGGACGATTTGTACTAATGTAGAGTCGTCCCTGATGTATCTTTATAGAATAGTCTGCATAATACCCCATTTCATTTATTTTTATTTCAAATGTATATTTTTGTTAACGTATGCTCAGACGTGGAGAACGGAAACTGCACTGCTGGCAGGGGTCATCTCTGAGGATGTGCCTTACAGGGGAGGACTCCTCTGTCTAAATTACAGTTCTCTCTAATGTTTCACTTTTTAAAACAAAGAAGGTATTTCCTTTTGAAATCATGTATGGGGAATTTAAAAAAATGTGACTCTCTGCTTCAACCTGAGCATCTCAGCTGAGGCCCCTCTGCCCCAGACGCTGCTTCTCTGGCAAGGCGTGTGAGGCACAGTGCGGACCAGATATTCTGAAGAAGGAGCCGTGAGAGGCAGAAGTATTTTGCGTGTAGAGCTAAGCAAAAAGAAAAGCAAGATTTGGGAGTGAAATGAAAGAACACTGAAGTACCCGGGGTGAGGCAGAGGCTGAGGTCAGCTGGCCTGTGTGCTGGTGGGACATGGAGGCTGGGCACCAGCTCTTTCCTCGTCTCCTCAAGCTGACGCTGCTCTCCCTCTTCTCTCCCTTCCAGAGCGGTCTGCGCTTCCTGTAGCATAAAGGTGAGGACCACATGAAGTCTGAGCGAGGCCCCAGGGGTCTGAGGTGTCCTGCAGCCTGACTTGGCTTGTCTGGGGAAGGAGGGATGGTGCGGGGACAGAGGCCCTGCTGTCTCCTGTCAGATGATCCCACCCTCACAGTCACCTCCTCTGTCTCCCTCCTCTGGGCAGAATCCATCCTACACTTTCCAAGACTGCAGTTTTTGAAGACCGTTATAGGTGGCCTTTTTTTTTTTTTTTTTTTTTTAACATTCCATGTTAGTAGGCCAGTGCCAAGGAACCCTTCACTTCCCTCTAAAAGACCTACCTTCTGACACTGCACCTTCCTTGAGTGTTTTTGGAGGGGTTCTTTAGCAGCTGGGGTGTGGGTACATGCAGGCGTGCACAGAGATGAAAGAACTGTTACGGTTAGAAGCATGTCACCTCATTACGCCTCAGCCCAGAAACAAGAATCCGCTTAAGAGGGATTTTTGCCACCACTATTTTCAAACCCTGCCACTTGGCTGTGGAAAAACTCCCATCTCATCAGTGTTAAGTGTATATTGCACACAGGGCATGATGCTCGATCTGTGTGGCACGAAAAGGCAGTCATGCTCTGAGAAGTGCCTCTGCAGGTGAGCAGACGCAGCGGGGCGTGTAGCATGCCAGGAGGTACGTGCCTTCAGGCACCAGGCAGCATGTGGGGTCAAATGGTGGTCTCTAGGCTCACCTCTTAGGAAGAAGGACCTAGCTGCCCAGTTCTGGAAAAATTGGCCATGGAAACCCCATGAATAGCTGCGGAGCATTGTCTGATAGAGAGCTAAAAGAGGAAAGGCTGGCACCACAAAGACCAGGCAGGGCTCTGCTCTGCTGTCCACAGGGGCGCTAGGAGTCGGGATTGACTTGATGGCACTGACAAGGCTCACCCCTGCTGCCACGCAGGTGGCCAGTCACAGGGGTGGCGAGTGTGCCTGGGCTGTCTCTGTGGGACAGCTTTGTCCACACCTCCCTCTGTGTGTTGTAGATGAAGATGCCTTCTAAGAAGTTTGCACACATCCCTGTTTACACCCTGGGCTTTGAGAGTCCTCAGAGGCTGTCAGCTGCCAAAACCACACCACCATCGAGGAGAGACGTCTTCCAGTGCGTTCCTTTGCCCTCTGCTGCTGTCGCCCTGGTGGTCAGGCACTGACAGTAACTTGGAGCTGGGAGGTGGTGGGGGGTTGCTGGGACCCCTGAAGGAAACAGAGATCTGAGACACAGATATCTTGGGGGGCTCCCGGGGTTGAGTACTGTGAGATGGAAACTGAGCCAGGTGGTCAGCTTTTGCCAGGATGAACTTTGCATGGCACATTCATTCCCAAAATGTGTTTGCCTGATGGGGGGACATCCCTGACAGCCCTCTCCCACCCCAGATCGCTGCAGGGGCCTCAGCGGAGTGTGGAGGAGGAGTTCCCACACATCTATACCCACGGCTGCATCCTGAAGGACGTCTGCAGCGACTGTACCAGCTTTGTGGCAGACGTGGTGCGCTCCAGCCGCAAGAGCGTGGATGCTCTCAACACCACGCCGCGCCGTGCCCGCCAGACCCAGTCCCTCTATATCCCTAGCACCTGGACTCTTGACTTTAAGTGATGGCCCTTGGCCACCCCAGGCACCTGGCTGGAGGCTCTTCAAGAGGCCAGGCCTCCAGGGAGGAGCCAGGCTAGTCCTGGACCAGGCTGAGAAACTGCCATCCTGAGGCCAGCCTGCCCCCTGGATTGTGCATGTACATATATACATAATAGATACATTTATATAATATATATAAACACAGCCTATATATTTATATACGTGTTTCTGACCCCAGAGTTCACTTGGGGTCAGGCTCACTCCAGGACCCTCCCTGGGGGAGGGCTTCCTCCTGGGATTCCTTGGGTGGGGCAGGGAATGGGCTGGATTTCTCACGCAGACAGGAAGGAGGGCACTTTGAAGGTAGGGCAGAGGATTTCAGGTGGTGGGGCTCTGGGGGAGCCCCCTGCCCCATGTTGTTCTTTTCTCCAGCCCGGGGATGAGAACACAGCAGCTTCCCCTCCTTGTGTGGACATCCAGGCTGGACCAGGGCGCTTGGGTCCCCAGGTGGACCGGAGCACCTGCCTGCATCTGCCCTCTCTTAGCAGGGACGTGGGCTTCGGAGGCCCTGGGAAGCCTCGGAGTGGGCTGAGATTCTCCTGGCAGGCGGCCCAGGCATCCTACCCTTCCATTTGGAAGGTCTGAGGCACAGCTCACTCCCTGACCCCTGCCGGGCATCCATGCCCCAGCCATCTGCCACACGGTTGGCGTTGCCATCCTCACACACCCGGAGGTCCAGGATGGTGCTGGCCTGAGGGCCTTGGCAGTGCTTGTGTCCTGGTACAGGGAGGCGCTCTGTAAATTTGTACACACAGCCACTCTTGGCCTAATAAAGGTGGTCTCATCTCCTGTTTGCGGTGTGGACTGAGGACTGTCAGCGCAGCAGTGGGCACATTCTCCAAGGGTGGAAGCCGGGCTCTGAGGGGCCACCTGCCCTCTGGTGCATAGTCAGGATGCCCATCACGAGACAAGGGTGCTCAGGTGACTCCCGTCCTCAATGCCAAACTTCATAATCTGGTCGTCTTGGTCCTACGGCCAGCAGGGCTGCATGTGGGACAGCAGCTCAGCCTGCTGCCTGGGGGCCCTTTGGCCTCATCCCCAGGTCTCTATTCCTGCCCTCTGAGCACATGATTCCCTCAGGGTTCCCAGGGTGGGGGCAGCTGCACCCTGCTCTTCAGGAGAATGGTTAGAGGAGCACCTCTGTGCTCTGCCTGTCCACATGCGCCTGGGATGTGGCTTCTGTTGTCATTCCACCTTACAGATGAGGAAACTGAGGGTCAAAGAGGCAAGGGAATTTAGCCAAAGATACACAGCTCTCCTGGACCTCCACCCAGGCCTATTGGACGCCAGGCTCTAAAGCCTGCCACACAGGGACAGGGCCTGTCACAGGCAGGCCTGTGGGAGAGGATGCTGTCATCAGCTGGGGTCCAGGAGATGCAGTTACACATGCTTAGGCCAGCCAGTAGAAACACGCCAGCTCCCAGCACTTGCCCTGAGCAGGCAGTAGTAGTATTCCTATTTAAAACAAGATAACAGGCATAGAGAGGGTAAGGAAGTGCCCCAGTTGCACAGCCAGCAGTGAGAAGGCGAGCACCCCTGCAGCCCCCTTCACAGGCAGACGCTCCTGTGAGGTGAGCACCGTTGTCATCAGTCTCCTAATTCCACAGGTGGGGAAATGTGCAGGCTCACACTCCCAATGCGGGGAAGCTGGGGTTCTAATCCACACAGGAGGACTTGGAAACGAAAGCCCATCCTGAGACAGCTGGGCTGAGCTGAGAGGGGTCCCCACGAGCTTGAAGGTGAGGTCAAGAGGGGGCGTTACTGCCTCTTCCATCTTCTCACTGCTGGCCTCACCGCCCACTGACCCCAGGTACAGAAAGCTGTAGGGTCAGCCCACTGAGCCAAGCCTGCCTCCACCCCACCTGATTTAGCTCTTGACTCATGGAAGTCACTCACTCCAGAACTGTTTACAACCAACCCTTCCTTGCTGAGGACTAGGCCTGAGGTGGTGTGGGGAGACGCATGTTCAAAGCTGCCTGTTCAGGGAGGTCACCACTCAGGCTGGGCCTGAGGCCGCATCCCTCACGGTGTCACGTGGCCGCTGTCTTGTGGAGCACAGAGTAGAAAGCAGCTCCAGGCTGAGACTCCCCAAGTTTCCCTTCACAGGCAAGGCAAGGAGCCTGCATAAATTGGTCACACCACTTGACCAGGGGTGACACAACATCTATTTAACAACAAGCCTGCCTCTCAACAATCAGAATGGACAGGAGTGGGGTGTCCTGGAGGTCCCGCCTGTGCTGTGCTGAGCATAACCCTTTAGTAGCTGGATTGTGGAAGGGGCTGTTCTAGGGAACTCTCCAGGGGGGTGGGGGGAGCGGGACATGTGGGGGCCTTGAGACAGCCGGTATGTGCCATTCAGTGTGAAGTGCTTCAAGATCCTAGTGACCAGTACAGGCTGACAGACCAGCCACGCACACATGTACACACACGCTCCCTCCCTCTCTCTCTCTCTCCCCTCAACTCCCAACCTAAGTGAGGAACACTCAGACTTATGAGGGGGAGGGCTGGGGTGGAGCTCAGGGGTCAGAGGAGAGGGATCCCAGAGGCCATGACCCACCCTGTCCCTGCCTCCTCTTCTCAGTCCTTGCCAGTGGCCTTCCTCATCTGAACTCTGCAACCACAGACCAGAATGCAAATCCATATCCTACCTGGGCCAGTTACTTTCCGAGTTCTAGTTTATTTACCTGTAAAAGGGGGAACACCTATAGTACCTCCCAGCAGTGCCTGGCCTGGCTCCACAGTGAGAGCCATCCCCACACCCGAGGTTGCCCCCTCCTCTCTCTGTCACCGTGGGAGGGACCTTCACGCCACAACATCTTGCTCTTGCATTTGGACCTCTGCAGTGAAGGGGTCTCAACCCTGCCTGCACATTTTAATCCCCTGGAGAGCTTTTAAGAAATATCAATGTCGGACCCCACCTCGGAATTTCTAGGGGTCGGTCCTTCATCTTTTTTGCAAAACTCTCCCTAGGAGGTTAGGACGCACAGTAAGTCACGGTGGCGAGCCTCCGCCTTACACCACGGATTCCCATACTAGATGTACGGGAGAATCACCTGGGGCGTGTTAATGACAATAAAAAGCAAACTCCCAGGACGATCCTTTAAGATTCAGTTCCAGTCTATCCTGGGCAGGCGGTCGTCCAGAAATCCGCGGTTCTGGGGAGCTCCTCGGTTTGGATGCGCTCACTTCTAATAAGGAAGGACCCGTCCTGCTTGCAGCCGCTGGGGCAGGCTGAAAGCAGTCCAGGGTCCCTTGAGGCCCCCCCAGGTCTCAGTTGTCACCTGCGCGCTGCCACCCGGGACGCCTCGCAGCAGCGCACCCACCTGCGCGCACCCCTCCTCACGCGGCCCCACCTGCGTGTCCCTCCCGCCCCACGGCGCGCACTCGGAGAACAAGGTCTGGGCCCGCTGTGGGTGGCTCGGAGCCTGCGCAGGCCGCGCCGCGTCCCAGCTCATCCTCAGTCGCCAGCACGCCTCCCGAAGACCGGGAGACACCCTCCGCGAGGAGGCGCCCAACTCGCGCGAGAACTCGCCCCGACGAGCCCTCACCTTCTCTGACGCGACTGGTGACAGGAAGTTCCGGAAAGCCACAGCGCGCAGACGCGACACGCCAGACTCGCGCCAGCGCGCCGTAAGTGCGCAGGCGCGCCGGCCGTCTCTTTGCTGCTCTTCCTTCTCCGGTCTCCAGACGTCAGCGGCCGTTGGGCCCTATGTCGCGCCGGGCCCTCCGGAGGCTGCGGGGGGAACAGCGCGGCCAGGAGCCCCTCGGGCCGGGCGCCCTGCAGTTTGCCCTCCGTGATGACGATGATGTGGAAGAAGAAGGCCCAAAGCGGGAGCCCGGTGGCCAGCGCCCCCGGGGCGCAGCGAAGGAGGGCGTCCGAGTTAACAACCGGTTCGAGCTGGTGAGGAGCGGGGCTGCTGGGGTAGGGGCGGCGGGGGGGCGGTGTGCGGGGCGGGGCTTCGCGGGGCGGGACCGTGACGTCACGGGGCGGGGCGAGCGCAGTGGGCGGTGGCATGAGGCGGGGGCGGGGTCAGGTTGGGTTGGGGCCCGCGGTGAGGAGGGCGGGGCCATACGTCCAGGGGCGGGGCGGGGGGGGGGTACAGGCTGCAACAGAGTGGGCGTGGTCGTGCCGTTGAGGGGCGGGCCCGCAGCGCGGTGGGCGGGGCTTCACTCCCAGGGTCTGGGGGGACCCTTCTCTTGGTTTCAGGGTTGAGCATTCAGGGCCTTGGCAAACATTCCCGTTTACTCCTCACAGCCCAGGAGTTAGTGTCCCCCCATGCAGGTATCTGGCGCAGAGAAATAACAGTAGATGCAAATTGAAGGAATAAATGCCCACTGGGCCTCAGTCTGCAATTTTGCATGCGCGTGCCTTATCTTATGCTCCCTTCTATGACCTCCCTGTGCAGGCAGGTAACGTGTCTGTTTTGCTCATCTTGTGTCCCCAGCACCCTGTACCCGACGCATAGTAGGGACTCAGTGGCTGTGTGCCAAATGGTTGAAAGAATAGCAGTAGGACTGAAGATCAGGGAGAAACCAGCCACGCTTTGTAAGCCTTCTCTTGATCTCGCAGTTGCTCCCAACTTTATATGAAGTTGGCAAGTGAAGGAGCCTATTATAGGACGGTGGGGAGTGTGGGCCGCCAGCCTGGGAGTTTGTTTAGAGACTGTTGACCTTCCCTGGTGAGGTAAGAGACAGCCAGCATCACTGTGGTCTCTGGTGGGGATGGGACCCACGTTCATTCTTGGAATTCTCCATACTCTCCACCGCCTCCTCTGATCCTCACACAGAAAGTAACCCCCTTTCCTCTACTCCGTTTATTATCATTTATTTCTTTTTAACCTTTTTTATTAAGGAAAATGTCAAACATATACAAAAATAGAGAGAGTAGTGTGGGGGATGTGCCTGTCACCCAATTCCCACAATTACCCACATGCAGCCAGTGGTGTCTCCCCAATTCTTCGGCCACATCTTTCTTTCTTTCTTTCTTTCTTTTTGAGGAAGATTAGCCCTGAGCTAACTACTGCCAATCCTCCTCTTTTTTGCTGAGGAAGACTAGCCCTGAGCTAATATCCATGCCCATCTCCCTCTACTTTATATGTGGGACGCCTACCACGGCATGGCTTGCCAAGCGGTGCTGTGTCCACACCCAGGATCTGAACCTGCGAACCCTGGGCCGCTGAGAAGCAGAACATGCGAACTTAACCGCTGCGCCACCAGACCGGCCCCCTGCCACATCTTTTATCCTTAGATTTGCCAGTCGTTTTTCTCACTTCTCTCAAAACACCCAAGTCTTCTTTCCAATCCTCCTTGTTAACAGTCTGAAATCAGTTTGTGCTGAAATGGGCCATTTTCGTGGACTTTTTATCAGGTAGTGCTTTCTCCATCTTCCCACATCTCCCAGGTTTAGTCTTGAACGAGAGGAACTGTTATTTGGAGGACATGTACACATTCTGGACACTGCTGCCATGTCAGGTGATTCTCACAGTCTGGGAAGGAGGTCCTATTGTGCCCTTTGTACAAATGAGCTAGTACATGACACCTACACTGTAAGTTGTGGCTTTCTGACTTAAAACATGTACTCTTAACCCTGCCATGATACTTGTCTCTGAGGCGAACTTGATGTTTCTGCTGAGGAAGATGGGAGGATAGTGGACAGGGGCAGGGTGTTTGGGAGGGATGGAAAAATGGCAGGTGCTTGTGTGTGTGGATGGAGAACAAGGGTGCTGCTGTGAGCCTCTCCGTGACGTCAGTCAGGTCAGAGGGCCCCGAGGGCTGCAGGGCCCAGAGCGTTGCTGTCGGTGTATTCCTTCTGCTTTCTGACAGGATGTTGATATCGCCAGCTCAGACCTCCTTCCTGCTCTCTGGTTCATACCGCCAGCTCAGCGTCTGTCTCCCCTTAGATGTCTCACAGACATCTCGAACTCAGTGTGTCCAAACATTAACTGCCCTTCCGCTCCTTCAGCCTTCCTTGTCTCTGCTGAGGGCTCTCCATCCTTCCCGCAGCCTGGAAGGCGTCTCCGATTTTCTCTCACACACCACGTGCAAACCATTGGGAAGGCCGGTGGTGGCTCCAGGTGCAGCCCCTTGAGCGTGACCGTTGCCTTTGGTCTGGATAGTCACCGTCCTCCTACCCAGTCCCACTTTTGCCCCAGTTGCTCTGCAGTCTGTCTGAGCTCAGGGGCTGCAGTGGTCCTGTTAGGCACACGTCTGATCTCAGCCCTGCTTGCCTCACCACCCCCAGTCAGCCCTGTCAGCTCCCCCACCTCATCTCTTTCTCGTCTTGCTCTCTCTGCTTCAGCCACACTGATCTCCCTGTGCCATCCCCTCTGCCTGAAACACCTTGTATTCAGATGTCACGTGGTTCCCTCTCCTCCCTCAGGCTTTGCTCGTGTGTCACCTTCTCAGTCTTGCCTACACTTCTCACTTGATTTAAAATTACAGTCACTCTTGTATTCCCATCCCCTTTCTTCTACTCTTTCTCCTTTTCCCTGGTAATTATCACAAAAGATACCGTACACATTACCTGTGTGTTCCTTTTGTTTTGTGTTGCTTGTCTCCTACTGTTGGAGTGTAAGTTTTGTGAGGACAGAGACTTTGCTGTTCCCTGACGTGTGCTCATCACCCAGAGCAAGTCTGGCATGCAGTAGGTATGCAGAACAGTGACTGCAGGAGTCAGCATTTCCTCTAAGACCGGCAGTTACTGTCTCCAGCCAGAGTGTGTGTCCACAGGCTTTGGAGTCAGAATGACCTGGGTTTGAATCCTGGCTCCACTTCTTTGTAGCTGTGAGAACCTGGACAAGATACCTAACATAAACTTCAGTTTCCCTGTTTCTTGGGGATGATCCTATTTACCTCATGGAGTTGTCATGAGGAGTAAATGAACTAACTTGTGCAACCTTTAGTCCATGCTGAGCACATGATCCGCACCCAGTAAACGTCGATGTTAACAATGTTGAAAACCAAGGGAAGGGTGCAGTGGCACTTACGTGGAGACACGTCACCCTAAGCGGTTGCTGGGGCCAGCGATGCTCTCCTGGGAAGGGGGAAGCCGAGCAAGAAGACACCCTCCTCTGTCACTCTGTGGCTTTGGCTGTCCTTGTTGCTGGCTCTTGGGTGAGTTTCTTTGACCTTAGATTAGAAATAATCATTCCTCTTTCATTCAGAGTGGATTTAAACATCAACTTTATGGAAGTATAATTTGCATATAAATGCACCTGTTATAAGTATATAGTCTGAGTTCTGCAGCATAACATACTGCGCAGCCATTAAAGATGATGTTGTAGAGTAGAACTTCTTAGTATTTCTTGGTCCAAAGACCACTTTGACAATCTGATAAAAATCACATAAACACACTTTTAAAAGCTATCAGGATTTATTCTATAGCATTAAAAAGTTTTGCCTCTGAGTAAGGAAGATCAGTCTTTTACAGAGAATTATGTGTGTATGTCTCTCTGCTTTTATGTACAGTATAGTGGCCATTCCCTGAAAGTAACTGAAATAAATCTAAATTGTGCAATCAAATAAAAAACAAACTTCTTCCAAAATAAGTTTCAGTGATGAGGCTGCTGTTGTTTGACTGAAATAAGGACTTGAAATTGTTCAGTGATCTTTGACTTGCCAACACATGTGTCATCATTATCTTTGATATCCCGTTGATTTTGATCCTTAGTTTTAATGACAGCAAGAGCAAAACCCCAGATTCACATTCACAAACACGTTTAATAACAGATGGTATTAGAACTATGTATTTTGTTTACTGGTCAAGGATTACCATAATTTTCTAAAATTCTTCAGGTCAAAAATCAAATTACAGGGGCCTGGCCCAGTGGCACAGCGGTTAAGTTCGCACGTTCTGCTTCTCGGTGGCCCGGAGTTCACTGGTTCAGATCCTGGGTGCAGACATGGCACCGCTTGGCAACAGGCATGCTATGTAGGTGTCCCATGTATAAAGTAGAGGAAGATGGGCATGGATGTTAGCTCAGGGCCAGTCTTCCTCAGCAAAAAGAGGAGGATTGGCAGTAGTTAGCTCAGGGCTAATTTTCCTCAAAAAAAAAAAAATCACATTGCTTCATTTCTTTTGTCCTCAAGTCTGTGAGATTATCTTCAGCAAAGTTGCCATCATTAATGCTTCTTTGATCAAGGAAAGAATTATGAATCCATATTCTAATTGTGATGTTAAATGAACAGTGAAAAAAAAATGTCTGCTGTGTTTCCAGACATCTGCCGGTTTCTGCTTACAAATAGGTGAAGTTTTGTCATTCTTGACTGCAGACTGGAGAAGCACTTCCTTCAGTGATGTGAAGTTTTAATGGCTTCCCTCTTTCAATGGGAAAAATAACTCCTTTTTTCTCCTTTTTTCAGCAGCACTTTTAGTGGTGCCCATGGGGCCCTAAACTGAAAAGCTTATTTTTAGAGAGCTAAAAACAATCTCTAAATAAACCAAGCAGTGGATGAATAAAAACAAAAGTAAGATTTCTACTTCTAGCCATGGTAGAATAATTGGTACTAGAATAGCCTTCTGGCCATGAACAATATAAAACTGAGCTAGAGATATAAAGTAACAGTTTTCAGATATTAGGCAAGAGGTGCTGAGGTCTGTGACCCTGAGGGAAGAGGAACATGGTGAGCCCGCTGACCTGGCCTTCTCCCTGGAGGCACTTTTCAGAGAGCAGCACAGGGAGGACAGCACAAGAGAACATGGTGGTGGCACTGAACTGAGGAGGCAGATTCGACTTTGGGTCCACTGAGGAGCTGGAGTTCCCAGGCTGGGGTGCTGTGGAGAACGAGTTCCAGAAATCTGCTTCCAGTCTTCAGCTCAGTACTCAGCTGTGTTGGGCAAAAAACAACCAGAGGGGAAAGGACAGCTCCCAAGACCATGAGATTAACTGGGACAGGAGCTCA